CTTAGCTAGTAATTGCCTGTTGCAATAATGCAGCTTTTTGAACTTTGCCCTAAATGCCAGTAGAGATAAAATTTGTCATTTTGAAAACTAGCATGATTTTTTATTTTTTGTTTTCACAGAGATTTCTCCTGAAGGGGAAAAGTACCAACCCTTAATTACTGAAGAAAAAAAAGTACAGTGTATTTCACATGAAATAAACACGTCGGCTATTGTTGACTCTCCTGTTGAGACAAAAAGTCCAAAGTTTAGTGAGGCTCCACAGATGTCATTGAAACTGGAAGGAAATTTAGAAGGTATGTTCCGAGTCAAAATGAGCTATATTTGATTTAGTAAAACTTAAAGTTCACAAGCTTTATAAACAGATTATCAAAATTTGTGTATTGGTATTTCATCTCAAATTAGGTTCAGCATTTTTATATTTTTAGTAATTGGTGTTTTTTTTTATTACTGCCTAATAAGTCACCCCAAAACTTAGTGTTGAAACACCAACCATTTCATCTCATGATTTTGTGTGTCAAAAATTGAGTCAAGACTTGGCTAATGTGATTTTCCTAATTCAGGTACCTTTTTCTCAGAGATCAGTTGGTGGTGGTCAGCTGGCAACTGATGCTGATCTGAAGGTTCCCAAAAAGCTTCACTGCTGTCTTGGCAGGTACAGCTTAGCTGGGCCCCTCTCCCTCTTCCTGTCGTTTCAGGGCTATTCTTTGTACTCTTTCTAGCAGGATAGCCTGACTTCTTATATGAAGCCCAGGGCTCACAGACACTAAGGGGAAAACGGCTTGTACTCTTAAAAGCTGATCTCAGAACTAGCACATTATCACTTCTGCCATACTCTCTTAGTCAAAGCAGTCATAGCCCAACCTGGATTCAAAGGGAGGGGAAACAGAACACACCTCTCAGTGGGAAGAGTGTGAAAGAATTTGCATCTGTCCTAAATCTGCCATAGTCTCCCCTCTGACCAAAAAGTATTTTCATTCCTCCCATATGCAAAATACACTCATGCTGTCTCAAAGCCTCATCTCTTTATGACATTAGCTCAGAGTTTAATATGATAATGAAGTCAGGCCTCAGTGGAGATGGGTGTTCCCATCTGCATGTCTTAAGTATTATTATTTCTCAATCTGAAGACCTGTTAGTAAAATAAAGGTAAATTACTTGCTTTTCATATGTACAACATACAATGGTGAAACAGTTGTTGAGACACCTTTTCAAAAACAAGGAATATGGGAAGTAGGTAGCAGTCATTGGTCCATAGAAATTCTAAAATCCAACCAGGAATGGCATTGTCAGCTGGCTTTCTTGCACCAAAGGTTGGTGCCCTCAAGCGCTCTTCTCTTTTGAACTGTTTGTCCCCTTCAGTCTGAGCTCATAGTGCTTCCACAAGCAGAATTTCTAAGTTATTTTGTGGATTTATATGAATATTATTGATATTCACTGTGATTAACAAAAGCCCCTCATTTTTTTTTTGAGACAGACTTCTTTTCTACCTTCAGTTATCTATAAGGATACTATGAGACACTGGTCTTGAGTCCTTAGAAATTCTTTTGCCTAGCAAAGAGGATCTGCAAGGCATGCCCTTAAATCTTTCTGTGCCCTGACAGATCTGATGGGTACAACCTTGACTTCATCTCTGCCCTGAGGCCACACCCTACTGTCCTGAATTGAGTCTGTCTTGAGGCCATGTCTTCCTTTCAGAATCTTTTGTTACTTAGAAGGAATTATCCTGGGCTCTCTGTATCTCTTCTAAATTCTCATAAGCTAAATTTTTTTCTTCTGTTAATCTCTCTTTTCTTGTTCTTTATCAGAAGTTATTAGAAGCAGCTGTCACTTTGAATGTTCTCCTTTGATAAAACTCCTTAGCTAGACCACTGGATCCATAAAGTACATTTACTATCTTCCATATCATTGCAGTTACCAAATTTTCTGCCATTAGAGAACAAGAATCCCCTTTTCTCCAGCCTCCAGTAACCGTTTTTCACTGGTCAGTGTCTTACCAACAATGTCATTGAAGCCCTTCCAATTTCTGCCTGCTCCAGTCCCAAAGCCAGTACACATAGGCTTTTACGTCAGCTCCCGGCTTCCAGATATGTAATTCTGTTTTTAATATCTATTGCTACAAAACAAGTAACTCCTAAAACTTAGCAGCTTAAAATAACAATTTTAGGCCAGGCCTGGTGGCTCACACCTGTAATCCTGGCACTTTGGGAAGCCAAGGCTGGCAGATCACTTGAGCCCAGGAGTTCAAGACCAGTCTGGGCAACATGGCAATACCCCATCTCTACTGAAAATATGAAAATTAGCTACGTGTGGTGGTGCATGCCTGTGGTCGCAGCTACTAGGGAGGCTGAGGTGGGAGCTCAAGAGTTTGAGGCTGCAATGAGCATGAGCATGCCTGGGTGACAGAGCAAGACCTTGTCTCCAAAATAGAAAACAATTTTTATCTCTATTTTATTTTATTTTATCTCACAATTTTTTGAGTCAGGAATTGGGAGGTTCTTCTGCTCCATGTAGCATCAACTGGTATTGCTCAGTGGTATTCAGCCATCGGCTGGGCTTTTCTGAAAGATGCAAAATGATATCACTCCCATGCCTGGCATATCAGCAGGGCTCATCTGGGTCCTTCTCCTTCATTTTAGTCATGGCATTGCACTGTAGTCTTTCAGAATAAACTACTTTCCTGATGGCTCGGGCTTCCACATAGCAAGTAGAAGCTGCCAGTGCTCTTAAAGGCTCAGCCTGAAACTGGCATAGCATCACTTCTACTGTTATTACTCAAGGTAATCACCATGCCAGCTGAAATTAAAGAGGAGGAGAAGAAGAGCTCCCTCCTGACTTGAGAGGGAAGTCAGAAACCTTGCAACATGTGACCATCCTTAATTCACCACAGTCACTTAAATAATCTTATTCATTAGAACCATAGTTACTAGTATCATTATGGAATGAAAGTTCATTCCCCTTCCCCCCTCCTCCAAAATAACATATATTGAAATCTAATCCCTGATGTGGTGATATTGGAGGTGGAGTCTTTGCAAGGTAATTAGGTTATGAGAGTGGAAGCCTCATGAATGGGATTGGTGCCCTTATAAGAAGAGGGCAGAGAGCTAGCTTTCTGCTTTCTACCACATGAGGATACGAGGAAGAAAAGGTTATCTGCAAAACAGGAACAGGGCCCACTGAACCAGCCATGCCGGCACCCTGACATTGGATCCTTCAGCCCCAAACTCTTGAGAAATAAGGTTCTATTGTTTGCGCTACCCAGTCTATGATACTCTGTTATAGTAGCCTGAGCTAAGACGGCATCTTATGCCTTTTCTTTAAAAAAAAAAAAAAAAAAAGAAAAGAAAAGAAATCCTGATGTATCTGCAAGGAAAAAAAAGAAAGAAAATACTGTTAGGCATTCTGTGGAAGCTGTATAGCCTAGTGCAGGAGTTGATAGACCAGAGAGTAAATATTTTAGGCTTTGCAAGCAATATAGTCATAAGTGAAGCTTGTAGTGTAAGAAGAAGTTGATAATGATATAGCTTAAACTACTAGGGAACAGAGTTATTCATTAAAAAATAAAAAAGGGACCAGGCGCAGTGGCTCACAACTGTAATCCCAGCACTTTGGGAGGCCGAGGCAGGTGGATCACAAGGTCAAGAGATCGAGAACATCCTGGCCAACATGGTGAAACCCCATCTCTACTAAAAATACAAAAATTAGCCAGGCGTTTGGCACATACCTGTAGTCCCAGCTCCTCGGGAGGCTGAGGTGGAAGAATCACTTGAACCCAGGAGGTGGAGATTGCAGTGAGCTGAGACTATGACACTGAGCTCCAGCCTGGTGACAGAGCAAGAACTCCATCTCAAAAATAAAAATAATAAAAAAGAATTTTGCCCCCAGTGCTTACCTTGAATGAATGACCAAAATAATCATTTGAAAAAAAAAAGATAAAAACTTAAAGATTGGTACATTATCAGTTGTCTTTGCAAATAAGATAGATAATTAGAAACTAAAAATGGAGAAGAAAAGTACATCTATATTCCAGGGCGAGTAAGAGGGATGGTATTTGCTTAAACAGGAGAATACTGATAGTCTTAGTAGGAAAGGAAAAAGAGAAGTTAACAAATACTCTTCTCATCACTATTCACTTTCAGAAAATATCAACCAGGTAAAAAATGAGCCACTGACAGAAAATAGAGGTAGCATCTTGATATTAATTGAAGGTCAGACCAGGCGCAGTGGCTCACGCCTATAATCCCAGCATTTTGAGAGGCTGAGGCAGGTGAATCACTTGAGACCAACCTAGCCAACATGGTGAAACCCCATCTCTACTAAAAATACAAAAATTAGCCGGATATGGTAGTGTGTGCCTGTAGTCCCAGCTTCTCAGGAGGCTGAGGCAGGAGGATCACCTTAGCCCAGGAGATGGAGGTTGTAGTGACTTGAGAGCACACCACTGCACTCTATCCTGGGTGACAGGAATGAAACCCAATCTCAAAAAAAGAAAATTATTTGAGGGTCTAAGAAAACAGATGTTTAGTGCAATTAAATTATCTTCTCACTATCGTTGTGAAAGTCCAGGTAATAGTTCTTTTTTTAACTATTAAAAGATAAATTTCGAAGAGTAAATTTTTATTTTAGTTACCAATCAGTAATATCACAGTCTGTGTTTCTAACCACAGACATCTTTATTATTTAAACTGTTTTTATACCTTCTCTAAACCAATTTACATATTACTAAAATTTTAATGGAAGAGAAAATTTTACATCATGGTGAAAAATATAGAGTGTACCATATTTCCTTTGAGTATTTTTATTACAGTAAAAGGCAAAAGAGTCTGTCATTTGAAAAATAACTGTAATACAATAGTAAGATTTAAAACCTTTAGGTAGAATATTTAATTTTTCTGTTATAATGAATATATTACCCTAAAACTAGGTAGCAATAATTTATAGAACATTTGTTCAGTATTCTCTTGGCAAATTTTGCTTTGAGATGTTATGTTTATCCTTTGCAGAACCTGATGATTTGGAAACAGAAATTCTACAAGAGCCAATTGGAACAAACAAAGATGAGAGCTTGCCATGCACCATTACTGATGTGTGGATTAGCAAGGAAAATGAAACAAAGGAAACTCAGTATGTACATCTTTTCCTTACATTTTAAAACCCAACTCCATTTCATAATAACTTTTTAAAAATACTATAACAAACTAATATTACAACATAATATCCTAAAATTGCAATGCCTTATAAAAATAATTTAATTTTAATAGGTACTCACATGGTTCAAAAATAAATGAGTATATAAAATATATGAAGAGGCCAGGCACAGTGGCTCATGCCTGTAATCCCAGCAGTTTGGGATACTGGAGTGGGCGGATCACTTGAGGGCAAAGACCAGTCTGGGCAACACAGCAAAACCCTGTCTCTACTAAAATTACAAAAATTAGCCAGGCATGTACCTATAGTCTCAGCTACTTGGGAGGCTGAGACACAAGAATCCCTTGAACCCAGGAGGTGGAGGTTGCAGTGAGCTGTGATTGTACCACTGCACTTCAGCCTGGGCTACACAGCAAGACTCTGTCTCAAAATAAATAAATAAAGTGGGCCGGGCACAGTGGCTCACACTTGTAATCCCAGCACTTTGGGAAGCCACAGTGGGTGGGTCACCTGAGGTCAGGAGTTCAAGACCAGCCTGGCCAACATGGCAAAACCCCGTCTCTACTAAAAATAGAAAACAGCTGAGCATGGTGGCGGGTGCCTGTAATCCCAACACTCAGGAGTCTGAGGCATGAGAATCACTTGAACCTGGGAGGAGGAGGTTGCAGTGAGCTGTGATTGTACCACTGCACTCCAGCCTGGGTGACAGAGCGAGACTCAAAAAATAATAAAAATAAATAAAGCATGATAATTTGTAGTAAAAAGGCTTGCTTATATCTGTCTCTATCCAGCTGATTCCACTCTGGTCTTCTTTCAGATGTTTTTAGTATATGCATCAGCAAAAATAAATATTTAGTTTTCCATCCTTTTTAACTACAGTTATTAGGATAGTGTACGCAGCTTTTTCCACCTTGTTTATTTTTAGTCAATAATAAATCTGGGAAATTTTTTCGTAATACATAAAGGGCTTTCTTTTTTCTTATTTTATAGCTAGAGCTAGTTAGTGTTTCACTGTCTGGAATATCACAACTCAACAAGTTTCCTACCTGTTGGACATTGATTGACATTCCAAATGATGCTGCAATGAATAACTTCATATATAAAGTGATTTTTTGTGTGTGTATATATCTTTAATAAGTATAATTGCTGGGTCAGCTGCATTTTTACAAGTTGCATTTGTAATCTGGTTATTGTTCTCCTGGGGTTGTACTAGTTTACACTTTCAGAAGGAATGTCTGAAACCCATTTTCTCCACAGCCTTGCTAAACTTTTGTTATCAAACATTTCTATTTTTGCCAATAACAAGGTGTAAAAGATAGTACCTCCATTTGGGCAGTTAGTTTTTCTATCTCTTAAGAAAGGTAAAGGTCAGCATATCTTTTCAAATGTGTACGTTTCATTTGAACTTCTTTGTCTGTGAATTGTCAGTTTATGTCTTTGGCGCCCCCCTTTTTAAAAATTTAGTCATTGGTCTTTTATAAATTAGTAAAAACTCTTCAAAGTGAGAGATATTTGCCCTGGTGGTTACATGAATTGCAATTGTTTTTTCTCTACTGGTCGATTATGGGTGGGTGGGGTGTGTGTGTGTGTGTGTGTGTGTGTGTGTGTTTGTGTGTGTGTGGTTTTGCCATCCTGAAATATATAGTTTATTTTTGTTTATTTTTTATTGTTATATTTACCTGAATTTTGATAGTTACTCAGAAAAGCTTTGTATTTTTAAGGTTACCAAAAAATTTTTCCATTTTCTAGTACTTTTTTTTTGGTAGAGAGACAGGCTAATTTTGGTACCCAAGCTGATCTTAAACCCCTGGTCTGAAACAGTCCTCCCACCTTGGCCTCCCAAAGAGCTAGGATTACTGGCATGAGCCACTGTGCCTGGCCAGTTTTCTAGTGCTTTTATGTAATGCTTTATACATTTAAATGTTTGATTGTTTTTACATGTAAATCTGTGGAATTTATTACGGTTTATAGATTTGAGTCTGTATATATTTTTTTCCTATTCCATTGGTCTGTCTACAGTAATCTTGTACATACTTTTAATTAACAAATTATAAAATATTTTGACATTGTTATGTATTGGTTATCACATTTTTTATTTAGGTTTTCTATAAGCTTAACAATTTTTATTCACTTTATTGAAATGAGTGAAAGCTTCTTTCTACTAGTGTGTTTCCATTTATTTCTTTTTCTATTTCAAGTGATTTTTATCTAATGAATGTTGATCCTAAGTTATTTGGTGCATAGATATTCCCAAGTATAATACCTTTGTGCAAATTACACATTATGGCATTATAAAATATTATTGTTTGAGTCTTGCTTAATATTTTTTAACTAAGTTTTGTCTTTTTATTTATATTTGCCCAATCTGCATTGGCTCGTCCTTCTGTTTTCAGCTTTTCTGAATTATTTTATCTTAGCTATGTTTCTGATATTGTTCATGATTCAATCTGAAATTTTTTATTTAAATAACTAGTTCATTTATAAAAGTTTAATGTATCTTTTGTATGATATAGTTCAATTTTGTTATTTTTATTTTATTTTTATATTCTTTTTAGTCTTTTGCTATAGGTTTTATTGGGTTTTTTTAATTAACAGACTTTTGTGACCAATTTTAGTTTACAAAAAAAATGAGCAAAAATTGTAGACTTACTATATACCTCTCACTCCCCACCCCACAATTGTTTTTTCTTATTTCTGGCAAGCTCTGATATTTTTAACATCTTGCGTTAGTGTGTAATATATGTTACAACTGATCTGTCAATAATAATGACACATTATTATTAACTTAAAGTTTATAGTTTATATTAGGGTTCACTCTTTGGTACATTCTACAAGTTTTGACAAATATGTAATGACATGGATTCACTATTACACTATTATTGCTATGATACTGTACAATCACTCTATGCTTCACCTATTCATCCTGTCTTCTCTTTCCACCCCACAATCCCTGGCAGCCACTGATCTTTTTATTGTCTGCATAGTTTTGCCTTTTCCAGAATGTCATCTAGTTATTATTGTATAGTACACAGTCTTTAGATTGGCCCCTTTCGCTTGGCAGTATATGTGCAGTGGCTCTCACCTGTAATCCCAGCACTTTGAGAGGCCAAGGTAGCGGATCTCTTGAGGTCAGGCGTCTGAGGCCAGCCTGGCCAACATGACGAAACCCCATCTCTACTAAAAATACAAAAATAAGCTGGATGTGGTTGTGCACATGTCTGTCATTCCCGCTACCTGGGTGTCTGAGGCCCGAGAATCACTAGAACCCAGGAGGTAGAGGTTGCGATGAGCCAAGATTGGGCCACTGCACTCTAGCCTAGATGACAGAGTGAGACTGTCTCAAAAAGAAAAAAAAAAAAAAGAAAAGAGTTCCTTAAATTTTTTTAATCATTTTTATATATTATAGGAATAATAGAAAACCAGTATTTGATATGTGTGTTTGGAAATTTAATAAATTGTAAAGATGGTATTTCTAATCAACATGAAAAGAGAACCTATTTAATACATACTTTTGAGACAAATTAATCACAATTTTAAAAAAATAAAATAATCGTTTCCATTTCTGCAACCATTCAACAAAACAATACCAGATTGATTAAAGACCTAAATAAAAAATGTTAAAGGAGGCAGCCTAACCTAAAATTAATATCCAGAATTTATAAATAATGTAAGTTAATAAGAAAAACACAAAAGTCCAAGAGAAAAATAGGGAAGATTATGAATTGGCTATTCATGAAGGAAGAAACCCAAACATTCGTAAATACAACAGTATGATACTTTAGGAGTTGTAGGGAGTCAATAAAATGACAGATGAAAAGATTCCTAAGTGTTTGATAGACTTAGTGGAGAGCTAGGGTCCTGTGAATGTAACTGGTAGTCAGATACATACTCCTCCTCAAAGAAGAGTGTCTAAATGGCGGGGCAGAGTTTCATCAATGGGAACTCTGTACTTTCCACTGATTGTTTTTCCGTAAAATAACTTGAAGCCACAGGGAAGAGAAATGATATATGAAGTGTGTGTGAGGCAATGGCACTGCAGTGCTTTGATGCATTGCAAGTACACGTATGAAAGGTCAAGCCAGTCTAGAGATGCATTTGCCAGTTTTGTTAACGTTTTAAATGTACACATCCTATAATATACCTGCTTTACTTTTGGTATCTACTCTCCAGATCATTCATACATGAGCACAAAGAAGCAAATGTGAGAATATTCATTCCGGGAGAGTCACAGCAAATAATTTGAAGCAGTGGAAATAATGATTAATAAGGAGGTAGCTACAAATACCTATGTGTTTCTATAGACAGCCATCCTTCAGTATATCTAAGGGATTGTTTCCAGTATCCTTCAGTATATCTAAGGGATTGTTTCCAGTATCTAAGGGATTGTTTCCAGTATCAAAAATCAACACATACTCAAGTCCCACAGTCGCCTCTGTGGAACCTATATATATGAAAAGCCGGCCCTCTGTATACACTGGTTTGCATCCCATGATTACTGTATTTTCTTTTTTTTTTTTTTTTTTTTATTGGATTTTAGGTTTTGGGGTACATGAGCAGAGCATGCAAGACAGTTGCGTAGGTACACACATGGCAGTGTGCTTTGCTTTTCTTCTCCCCTTCACCCACATTTGGCATTTCTCCCCAGGCTATCCCTCCCCACCTCCCCCTCCCACTGGCCCTCCCCTTTTCCCCCCAATAGACCCCAGTGTTTAGTACTCACCTTTCTGTGTCCATGTGTTCTCATTTTTCATCACCCGCCTATGAGTGAGAATATGCGGTGTTTCATTTTCTGTTCTTGTGTCAGTTTGCTGAGGATGATGTTCTCCAGATTCATCCATGTCCCTACAAACGACACAAACTCATCATTTCTGATTGCTGCATAATATTCCATGGTGTATATGTGCCACATTTTTCCAATCCAGTCTATTATCAATGGGCATTTGGGTTGATTCCAGGTCTTTGCTATTGTAAACAGT